TGCCCATACCACAAAGAAACGAGAGAGAGAGAGAGAGAGAGAGAGAGAGAGATGAGAGAGAGAGAGAGAGAGAGAGAGAGAGAGAAGAGAGAGAGAGAGGAGAGAGAGAAGAGAGAGGATCTTACATACTCACTAATTCTATAATTGCGTGCACGCATGTATCCACGTTCGTATGCGTATGTGTCACTCCCACGCCAGGAAACCGCGTCCGCCCCCCCCCTCCCTTACCCCGCTCCCTACCCCCCCCCCCCCTCGCAGGCCTTCCACCGCGGCCGACTCTCGATCATGCGCCCCCCCCCCCCCCCTACTCCGGATGCGGTCGCCTTCTCGCTGTATCGCAGGTAGTCAATAGAGGAGTATGGAATTATCGACTCTTCACCTACCTTCTGCCCTCTCTCTCCCTTCCATTCTTCTCGTCCTTTATTCATTCTCCTCTCTTCCACCTCTAGGCCTTTCTTCACTCTCCCTCTCCTCCCTTCTACCTCTCGTCCTTTCTCTCATCTCTCTCTCTCTTCCACCTCTAGGCCTTTCTTCACTCTCCTCCTCTCCTCCCTTCCACTTTGCTTCTCTTCTTCCTTTTCCCTTTTCCTCCCTTTCCACTTTTCGTCTTTTCTTCCCTCCCTTCTTTCCACTTCGCGTATTTTTTCGCTTTTCCTTTCCACACCCTTCTTTTCTTCTTATAATTCCTCTCCCCTCCCTTGCCTTCTCTTTTCCCCTTTCACACTTCCTCTCTCGCTCTTCTTTTTACCGTTTCCCATCTCTTCTCTCCTTTTCCCCAATATTACCCTCCTTCTTTCTTTCCCCATTCCCCTTTTCTCTCCTCCTCCTTTTCTCTCTTTCCATTTCCCCTTTCTCCTCCTCCTCCTTTTCCTTCCCATTTCCCTTTCTCCTCCTCCCCCCATTCCCCTTTTCCCCCTCCTCCCTTCCCATTCCATTCTCCCTCCCCCTCCTTTCCTCCTTCCTACCTCTCCATCCCCCCACCCCCTTCCCCCCACCCTCCCCCACCCCATATAAAAGGGAAGTGAACCGGGAGACAGGTATTTCTGGCAGCTGCTTTGACCTACAAAACCTGTTGTGGCAATCGATGCTGCTCTTGTTTTGTGACCTCGATGGATTGACCTCTTCCGGCCTTCCCCCGTGACCTGGCTTGACCTCTGTGGTTCGTTTGGGGGTTAGTGGTCAGTGACTAATTTTTTTTTTTTTTTTTTTTTTTCAATGTGTAGTTGTACGTTTTCGGTGGAATGTGAGGAAGGGGGAGGGAGAGGAGAGAGAGAGAGAGAGAGAGAGAGAGAGAGAGAGAGAGAGGAGAGAGAGAGAGAGAGAGAGAGAGAGAGAGAGAGAAGAGAGAGAGAGAGAGAGAGAGAGAGAGAGAGAGAGAGAGAGAGAGAGAGAGAGAGAGAGAGAGAGAGAGAGAGAGGAGAGAGAGAGAGAGAGAGAGAGGGAGAGAGAAGGCGCGGAGAAACTGCGGCTTAGGTCTCCTTCTCTGGTAATTTTATGTAGGCGCTTCCTTCTGCTATCCTCCCTCTTCCTCCTTCTATTTTTTCTCTCTTTCTTTTGCTTCTCTCGTTTCTTTTCCTTTTTTCTATGCCTTCATTTCTCTTCCTTTCTTCTAATCTCCTCCCTTTTCTTTCTTCCTTCTACCTCCTCCCCTTTTCCCCCTAGTCTTTGCCCCCTCCCTTCTCTCTCTTCCCTCTGCCACCCCTCTCTTTCCTCCTTCCCTCTACTCTTTCCTTTCCCTCTTCCTTCCCTACCCTCCTCTCCTTTCCCTCCCCTCTTCCTCACCCTCCCTTCCCTCCTTTCCTTCTACCCTCCCTTCCCTCTACCTCCTTCAAATTCTCTCTCTCTTCTTCCTCCTTCCGTTCCTCTCCCTTCCCACTTCTCCTCCCACCTCGTCGTTTCCCCCACTCCCCTCTTTTATTCCCCTCACCCCATTCCCTCTTAGAAAATGACGTACTTGAAGATGAAAGGAAAATTACACATATAGTAACTAAATTACTGCCACGTTATTTAGAAAATAGTACCTTAGAGTAACTTTATATTCAACTCTCTGCTATAAAGTTTATGGGGAGCTGTAACTGTGTATTAGCGCGGGACTATAAAGTATATAGAAAACTATAAAGCTTAAATTCCCACACGAAGACCCCTTCTTTTGTGGCTTATGGTATAGATTAGTTTAGGTCCGGTTGCCGTTTATGGTATTAAATTTTTCTTTTAAGTATTCTGAATTTTCTCTGTTCGTGTGTCGGTTTTATTTTGGTGTTTTTTTTGTTGTTGTTTTTTAAATTGGTATGTCGTTGTTGTTTTGATTCGGGTGATATTTTTTTTGTCCTGTTCGAAAAGGCTAAGGTTGTTGATGTTGTTTAAGGTTGTTGATGTTGGTTGTTGTTTGTTGTTTAAGGTTGTTGATGTTTAAGGTTGTTGTTGTTTAAGGTTGTTGTTGTTGTTTAAGGTTGTTGATGTTGGTTGTTGTTGTTGTTTTTGTTGATGTTTAAGGTTGTTGTTGTTTAAGGTTGTTGATGTTATTTTGTTGTTTAAGGTTGTTTGTTGTTTAAGGTTGTTGATGTTTAAGGTTGTTGTTGTTGTTTAAGGTTGTTGATGTTTAAGGTTGTTTGTTGTTGTTTAAGGTTGTTGATGTTGGTTGTTGTGTTTTAAGGTTGTTGATGTTTAAGGTTGTTGTTGTTGTTTAAGGTTGTTGATGTTTATTGTGTGTTTAAGGTTGTTGATTTGTTGTTGTTATGTTGTTTAAGGTTGTTGATGTTGTTTAAGTTGTTGATGTTGTTTTATTTGTTTGATGTAAGGTTGTTGATGTTTAAGGTTGTTCATGTTGTTGATGATGATGTTTTAGGTGTAGTTAGAGTTTCAAGGCTAGGTTATCTGTTAAGGGATTGTCGACTTTAAGGACACGTAGTAAAGGGCGAGGGAACGCGTGGTGGAGTGCGTGAGCTGGGACTGTGTGTGTGTGTGTGTGTGTGTGTGTGTGTGTGTGTGTGTGTGTGTGTGTGTGTGTGTGTGTGTGTGTGTGTGTGTGTGTGTTGTGTGTGTGTGTGTGTGTGTGTGTGTGTGTGTGTGTGTGTGTGTGTGTGTGTGTGTGTTTATATATATAAGAGGGAAGAGAGGGGGAGAAGGGAGGGAAGAGAGGGGGAGAAGGGAGAAAGGGAGAAGGGAGGGAACAGAGGGAGAGAAGGGAGGGACAGAAGAGAGCGAGAGAAGAAAGGGAAGAGAAGGGAGAAGGGAGAGAGAGTGAGAGGGAGACAGACAGAAGAAAGACAGAAGAAGAAGACAGACAGACAGACAGACAGACAGACAGACAGAGAGAGACAAGAAGAGAGAGAGAGAGAGAGAGAGAGAGAGAGAGAGAGAGAGAGAGAGAGAGAGAGAGAGAGAGAGAGAGAGAGAGAGAGAGAGAGAGAGAGAGAGAGAGAGAGATGATGATGATGCAAACCAGTTAAAAAAACTTTAAAGCTTTAAAGGTGGCTCGACGGAGGAGAAGGCGAGAGAGGGCGAGTGAGGGAGGGAAGGGGGGAAGGGGACAGGGAGGAGGGTCGAAGGAGTGGGGGAGGAAGGAGGGAAGAGGTAGGAGAGAGAAATGGATGGGGATAGAGAGAAGGAGAGGAAAGGAAGGGAAGAGAATGAGTGAGACAGTTAGGAAGAGAAGGAGAGAGAAGGAGAGGAAGGGAAGGGAAGAGAGTGAGTGAGATAGTTAGGAAGAAGAGAGAACAGAGAGAGAGAGAGAGCGGAGATAGGAAGATAGGGAGGAAGATAAGGGAAGGGGAAGGAAGGAGGAGATAAAGAGGAGGGGGAGGTAGGGAGGGGAAGGGGCAAGCCAGGTGTACCCATCAAATGGTCCCCACGTGGCACCTTGGCGTGGAGGTGCCATCCCAGTGCCAGGCTTTTCCCCGGGGTCAGTCTGGCCCTTCCGCCTCCCTGCTCTCCTGCCTCGGGTCGGGTCGGCAAACATTCATTTGGTGTGGGCGGGTGGGCGGGTGGGCGGCTGTTGAGGTGTCTTTTGGTTTGTGTGTGTGTGTGTGTTTGTTTCATTTTTGTTCTTATTTGCTGTATTATTATTGTTGTTATTGTTATTACTGTTGTTTTGTGTTATTATTTTTTGTTGTTAATTGTTATGGTTGTAAAAATGTATGATATATGATAATGATAATTGTAAGATGATAACGATGATAATAATTATTAGTATTATCATCGTTATCATAATTGATATTGCTAGTAGTAGTAGTAGTAATAGTAACAGTATTAGTATCTTTATTTTTTATTTATCATTTTCGCTCATTATTATTTTGTGTGTGTACATGAGCAACAGAGAGAGGCAGACACAAAATTTTGTTGGACTAACCCATTTCCTCGCCCACGCCCGTTCTTCGCTCGCAAATGCACGCCCACACACGGAACCCATTTCGTTAAGATTCACATCAAAGGTGCCTGCCTCTCTCTCTCTCTCTTTTTCTCTTCTCTTTCTCTCTTTCTATTTCTCTTCTTCTCTTCTCTTCTCTTCTCTTCTCTTCTTTCTTTTCTCTCTCTCTCCCTCTCTCCCTCTCTCTCCCTCCTCTCCCTCCCTCTCTCCCTCCTCTCTCCTCTCTCCCTCTCTCCCTCTCCCTTCCTCCCTTCCTTCCCCTCTCTCCCTTCATCCCTCCTCCCTCCCTCCCCCCCTCTTCCCCCTTCCCGTCCTTTCTTCCCTAGTGGTCGGTGAGTCAGTTTTGTTGGTCGATAGGTCTGCTAGGTCGATGAGTAGGTTAGTCAGTTAGTCAGTTGGTTGGTTGGTTCTGTGAGTCGGTTTGTCGGTCGATTGGTCGGCTGGTCGATGAGTCGGTTAGTCAGTTGGTTGGTTGGTTGGTTGGTCGGTGAGTCGTTTGGTCGGTCGATTGGTCGGTGAGTCGGTGAGTCGGTGAATCGGTTGGTTGGGAGGCCTCCTTCAGGGAAAACCTATTCCATCCCTCGGCGCTTTTTACGAGGCCGGCGCGCCCGCCCTGGCTGGCCCCTTCGTGAACATGTTCGGAACGTGCCTCGGGAGTTCCGACTTGTGTATGTTTCGTTCAGCCGCCTTCGTGTTTATTTGTTGTGTGCGTTGGATCGGAATGTGGGTTTTGAGGGTTTTTTTCTTTCTTTTATCTTTCTTCTTTTCTTTTACCCTCTTTTCATTTTTTTTTTCTTTTTTTTTTCTTTTCTTCTTTCTTTTACCCATTTTCTTTTTTCTTTTTTCTTTTCTTTTTCTTTTTTTTTTTCTTTTTCTTTTCTTTTTTCTTTTTTCTTCCCTTTTTTTCTTTTTTATCCTTTTACTTCATTTTTTTTTTTTTTTTGCTTTCTTTGTTGAAGGTGTTGAGGATGGATTATATTTGTTGTGGTTGTGGATGTGTATTGTGTGTGTGTGTGTGTGTTGTGTGTGTGTGTGTGTGTGTGTGTGTTGTGTGTGTGTGTTCGTGTGTGTGTGTGTGTGTGTTGTGTGTGTGTGCGTGTGTGTGTGTGTGTGTGTTGTGTGTGTATGTGTGTGTGTGTGTGTGTGTGTGTGTGTGTGTGTGTGATTATCGTGTTTTTATTGCTGGTTGAGCGGACGTGTTTTGAAAGAAGAGTGTCGATGTGTATACTCTCTTAAAGTGACTAATTATTCTTTTTTTCTTCATTGTTTTGGGTTCGATACATTACCTTGTGAAGTGACCAACTCTTTTATTTTTTCCTTTGTTAATTTTAGTTACTCTCCTTAAGTGTGACCCGCTGTGGTATTTATTTATTTATTTATTTATTCAGGATTCTGTTTGAAATGCGCACGCAAGGTCACCTCTCACAGCGGGAAAGGTTAGGTCAGTAGTAACTGGAGGAGGTGTCATGGCGTCTGATTCTATTTTTAGAAGAAAAAAAAAGCACGTGGGGGTTTATTTTGATGACGTCAAAAAGTTCGGATGCTTTGTGGATTTGTCGATCATTTTGGTCTTTTCAGTTTTCAAAAAGGATGGAAAATAATGGTTTTGATGGTTATATTTTCATTGAACAACCGTTAAAACAGCCGCCATGACACCTCCTCTAGTTGCTACTGATCTAGCCTTTCCCGCTTTGAGAGGTGACCTTGCATTTCAAACAGAATGCTGAATAATTAAATAAATAAATAAATACCACAGCGGGTCACTTCAGGAGAGTAACTAAAATTAACGAAGGAAAAAAATAAAGAGAAAGAGGAGAGTAGGGAGAAATGGGAAAATATGAACAGGGAGAGGGAAAGGGAAGGAGAGGAAGACGAAGATTTTGTTTTGTAGAGAATATAGGGGGAGGGGGGGTGAGAGGGAAAGGCAAGGGAAGAGGGGGAGGGAAGAGGAGGGTAAAATAGAGCTGGCCATGTGCGAATTGCCAGTGTCGACTCGTGGATCCGAAACACATGCCGAGTCGGAGGAAGTGTTTCGGATTCAAAGATTCGAAATTGGCGGTTCGCTTTCCAGGTTTAATTGATCATATGATCTTTACTTTACCGCAAGTTTATTGAATTTTAAGGAATCATTAATATTTTTATCTATTTTCCACTCGCTTTTCTATCTTGTTTCAGGTTATTTGTTATTTACAGCCGTCGTTAGATATTTATCTATTTTTCACTGTCATTTATTTCGTTAGATATTTATCTATTTTCCCCTCTCTTTACTGTCTTGCTTCAGATTATTTGTCATTCAGCAATCATGAAATATTTATCAACATTTCCTTATCTCTAACGAATGTTTTTTTTTCTTTGCAGATTACCTGTGCTCTCCAGAGGCCAACGTCTACGACATAGATTTCACACGGTTTAAAATTCGCGACATGGATACGGACACGGTTTTGTTCGAGATCGCGAAACCTCCGCCACAAGGTAGATATATATGTGTTGGTCGGTTTTAAATTTGGCGTTTGCTTTTTTTTTTTTTTGGTGTTGTTGTTTTTGTTTTGTTTTGGTTATTTCTTTTTCTCTCGTTCTTGTTCTTTCTTATTTTTTCCTTTTTCTTTCTTTCTCTTTCGCTTTCTTTCTCGCTTTCTCTTTTCTCTCTTCTCTTCTCTTCTCTCTCCTCTCTCTCTCTTCTCTCTCTCTCTCTCTTCTCTCTCTCTCTCTTCTCTCTTCTCTCTCTCTACTCTCTCTCTCTCTCTCTCTCTCTCTTCTCTCTCTCTCTCTCTCTCTCTCTCTCTCTCTCTCTCTCTCTCTCTCTCTCTCTCTCTCTCTCTCTCTCTCTCTCTCTTCTCTCTCTCTCTCTCTCTCTCTCCTCTCTCTCTCTCCTCTCTCTCTCTCTCTTTCTCTATCTATCTATCTATCTCTATCTCAATCCTGCTTCTTTTTCTCCCTCTTCTGTATAGATACATTGCGACTTTAACAGTTTTTTTTCTCACCATCCCTTGTTTTATGTTGCAAACGAGCGCAATCAAAACCATTAGGACAAACCATTAGGGAACCGTTTGAACTCTACGGTTTTCTCGACCCACGTTTAACATTGGATATGCGAATGACGGGGTATCTTATTTATGAATTTCATATTTGAGAAAAATATAACGGTTTCGATAGATAGATAGAAGGAATTTCTATGAGAAAAAAAAAAGCAGTTTTAGATAGATAGATAGAAGGAATTCATATGTAGTTAATGTTTGAGATACGTGTGATGTATATACATAATGCATATAGACATACATGCATATACATATATATATTATATATATATATATATATATATATATTATAATTATATATATGATATATTAACCTACAAGCATACATACATTATACATACATACGCCATAGTTACAATACATACATACATTACATACATATAACATACATACACACACACAACACACACATTTATAATGTGTGTGCTCGCGTTTGTGTGCGTGTAATTTCTTTCTCTTTCTCTTTCTTTCTCTCTCTCCTCTCTCTCTCTCTCTCTCTCTCTCTCTCTCTCTCTCTCTCTCTCTCTCTCTCTCTCTCTCTCTCTCTCTCTCTCTCTCTCTCTCTTCTCTCTTCAATTCCTCTTTTTTCTCCCTTTTTTTGTATAAGATACATGTATTAAACGTGTTTTAAGCGCCTTTTTTTCTATTTGTCTCATTTCTCCCCCGGTCGAGGTTATTCCCTTTTCAACGCCGTGATAATTTCGCCGTCTCCCGGAGTGCCATCGAGTGCCGCCCAGAGAGGATCGGGAGACGGAGGAATGGCCCTCGTTTGGTCTCTGTTTCTAGGCTTCGTTTCTTGGGGTTCGGTTTTGCTCTGCTTTTCAAGGGGGAGAGGAGGAGGGGAGGAGGGGAGGAGGGGGGGAGAGGGAAAATGGAGAGGGAGAGGGGGGAGGGAAGAGGGAGAGGGGGGGAGAGGAAGAGAGAGGAGGGAGAGAGAGGGGGAGGGAAAGGGAGAGGGAGAGGAGAGGGAGAGGGAAGAGGAGGGGGGAGGAGAGGGAAAAGAGAGGAGGGGCGAGGGAGAGGGGGAGAGAGGGAGAAGGAGAGAGAGGGAGGGGGGGGAGGGAAAAGAGAGGAAAGAGGGGGGGAAGGGAAAGTGAGAGAGAGGGAAGAGCAGACAAAAAAATAAGAGAGAAAGAGGAGGGGAGAGAGAGAGAGAGTGGGTGGGATGGTTGTTGTTGTGGTGTTGGTGATGAGTTGCTGTGGATGAGTGGTGGTTTGGATATAGAGGGTTGTTTGTGGTGGTGGCGGTGTTTTGTGGTGGTAGTGATCGGTGGCGGTTGTTGTGATTGTAGTGTTGGTGATGTGTTCTGTTTTGTTGTTGGTAGGTGTATGGTGATGGTGGTGGTGTTGGTGGTTGTTATTGTAGTGGTTGGTGGATGATTATGTTGGCGGTGGTGATGATGGTGTTGTTGGTGGTTGTTATTGTTTTTGTTGTGATTGTTGTTGTTTTGCTGGTGCCTGTGGTTATGGTTTTTCATATTGGTAGTGGTTGTGGCAGCACTCATACTTATTATTAATGTTGATGGTGGTGGTTATTGTGGTGTTGGTGATAATGTTGGTGTTGTGGTGGTGGTTATTGTTTTTGTTGTGGTTGTTTTGGCTGGTGGCTGTGATTATGGTTGTGGCAGCACTCACTATTATTAATGTTGATAGTGGCAACTGTTGGCAGCCCGTCATTATCGTTATCATTGTTCTTATCATTCGCGATTATTACTGAACGTTTTCCCTTCTTATTCTTTGGGATTATATATATAGAACTTTTTGCGGAGAGGTCAAGGGGGAGGGGAGGGGGGGGGGTTGCCAGCGTGGACCTTTTGCGAGAATCTTGAAGAGGGTTTTTTTTTTTTCTTTTTTTTGGGTGGGAGGTTGTCATCTCTGATTTTTTTATCCGTTTTTTTTGTTGGTATTTCTTTTTTTGCTTGGTTTTATTATTATTATTATTATTATTATTTTATTTATTTATTGTCTTAGTTATTGATTGCTCCGTTTCCTGTTTCCTTCTTCTTCTCTCAACTTTCTTCCTCTTTCTTCTATTTTCTTCTTCTTCAGCTTGTTCCTATTCCTGCAACTCCTTTCTCTTCCCCTTTCTCCTTCTCCTTCTCCTTCTCCTCCTCCCATCCATTCCTCCACCTCCCCCTCCTTCCTTTCCTTTCCTTTCCATTTCTTCCTTCCCTTCTTTCCCTTCTTCATCCATTCTCTCCTTCTTCCCCCCCCTCTCTTCCTTCCCCTCCTTTCTCATTTCTTCCTCCCGCTTCCTCCTGCTCTCCTTCCTTCCCTCCTTCCTTTACCTTCTCTTCCACTCGTTCTCCTCCTTCCTTCCTCTTCCCTCCTTCCCTCCTCCTTCTTCCCTCCTCTCCCTTCCCTTCCTCTTTCTCGTTTCTTTCTTTCCATCTTCCTCCTCCTCGCTTCCTCCTCTCTCCTTCCCTTCTTTCCTCCTTCAGTTTTCCTCCTCAGTCCTCTTCCTTCCTCCTTCCTCCTTCCCCTCTTTTCCTTCCTTC